ACAACTCAGAACTGCAATAGGACTTCAATTAGGCTCAAAAATATGCGAACGGCATACATGCGAGTGCGGAAAAGACGTTACCGAGGATGATTGGCATGGTCTTTCTTGCCTCAAAAGTGCAGGGAGATTCTCTAGGCTTTCAAACCTGATTGCCCTTAAAAAGCAGAGTTTATCTTCTACTCACATTCCGTCTGTTTTAGAACCACAACACCTCTACAGGACCGATCAGAAGCGACCAGACGGTTTGACGCTCGTTCCATGGGCTGTTGGTAAGCAGCTCTTGTGGGATGTAACGGTAGTAGACTCCTTAGCTCCTTGTAGAATTAATGTCGGGTCTGTTTGTAACCCTGGTATGGCTGCCGCTGAAGCGGAAGAGCAAAAAATTGACAAGTATAAAGATCTTGTAAAAGATGGATATCTTTTTCAACCGCTAGCTTTTGAAATTCAGGGCGCGGCCGGCCCCAGCACAGAAATTCATTTGAGCAAGCTTTTTATGAACCTAAGCATATGCACTGAGGAACCCAGAGCAGGCAGCTTTTTAAAACATAGATTCTCCCTGGCAATACAGATTGCGAACGCCGCCTGCGTTATTGGAACACTAGATGACAAAGTAACTTTCGACGAAGTTTTTTATTTGTAACACTTGTATTTTATATTTTCTCGTATCGAGTTGCGTGTTCTTATTGATAAAAACGTAACCCGTATCGATTTTAATTGAAAAGGACTGAAGCACTTGTCATCTTCTTTTAACATTATCACTTCCATATCTAGAAAATTCCAAGGATTTTGACTGAAATACATGATGAAGGGACTCCAGACTGTAACCTCGGTTACTATGATACTTTTGACCTTCCGATTACAATAGCATAATAAAATAATAAAGAGAAAAGAAGATCGAGAAGATCAACGAATTCGAAATTGAGAAAGACCTATGCTCTTGGATGGACAACATCTGACCTTCGAAACACTTATCAACGAAAAAGTATCAAAAGGAAATTTCATGATAGCAATTATCATAAAAACTTTCTCGAAACGGACAAATCAAGTGGCTTGATCTACAAAGACTTGGGCTTGATACGACCACACCTTGAGTTTTCCAATCTAACCTGGTATCCCAAATTGAAAAAGCTCAGAAGGATTTCGGAAAATGTGCAGAGAAGTTGACCTGTCTCTTTGAGGGACTCCAAAGCTTATCTTATTACAAATGTCTTTAAAGTTTAGACAGCATCACTTGCGTGCAGAAAAGAAAGGATGGTGATATGCTCCGGGTTTTATGACAGAAACTCGACTGGATACTTTTATTAAGTTTGTCCCAGTCAGCCTTGTTAAAAGCGTATTTTATATCAGTTACTGTAAACTGCGTTTCCTCCTTTTCGAGTTCGATAGATGTAACAGTTGGTTTATGGTCGGAAAAACTTTTGTCGTTTTGCATAAGATCTTTTTGTAAAATATTATCATATTCGCAGTTGACCATGGAATCTGGATTATTGGCTGGGACAACGTCTAATTGACTAGTCGATTGATTGCTGAAGTTTCTTTCAACAAGTGCATCAGTTATTTGTTTTTCGTAATCAAGATTTGATGACATAGTTAACAAGTTCGTTTGTGTTAGATTTAAGTCACCTGTTAGAATGATCAGATTACATTGACACTCCTTTGCCTTAAGCTGAACGTTTTCTAATAAGGTTTTCAAATCCTTTATTTCCCATTGGTAGACACTTGGTTACGGAGCTTTGTGTATGCAACAAAGCAAAATTTTGCTGTCTTTTTTAGGTTTATTTTTGATGGTTATACAATCGGAATGTTCATTTTGTAATGAGATATGTTCGTGAAGAATGTCGTTTTTGGTTGCAATTTGTACTCCGCCATGTTTTGTTTTACGATCATCATTTGTCATTTGGTCTTTTCTATATAACTGGTAAGTACTTAGGAAAAGCGCTGCTGATGGGATTTCGCAAGTTAACCAAGTTTCTGATAAGCATAAAATGTCGTAATCGTGTGTATTTAGCGTATTTGAAAACTTTGTTCTACTGTTTATATCTACTAAACTTCGAGTTTTAAAAGTCATAATTGAGATTGTTGCTAGTCATTTTTCGGTTTCTGAGTCACTTGTCTCATCGCCGTAAGTGCTTTTTTCTAATGGTATCCTTTTTTCGTTTTCCAATATTTCAATTATGAGATTTTTTACCCAAATATCTTTCGAGGTTAATTGATTAACTCTCTAAGTTTTTTCTAGGTAATCTTCAAGCTTGTCTGCCGCCCTCAGTGTAAGATCTCGGCTGATTTGGTTTTCAGTATTTATCAGGAGTGTTCTTGGTTGTTGTTTACTTGCGTCATATTTACCGAGTTTTTGCGCTTTAGTAAGTTTTTTATATTCGACGTTAAGATGTTGAAGAAGCTTTTATACTTCGGCAAAATCAGCATGTAATCTATCATCAGCCGAGTTTGAGCTTGATTCTGGTATACCTCGTATATATACTCCTAGCGAAGTTTTTTTCGGGACTTGAAATTGATTTTCCAAGATTCACTTTTACTAAGGATTGTTTGTATGTTTTGGTATCTTTTTTCACGTTTATGACTTCCGATTGAACATTTGTAAGGATGTTTTTTGACTTTTCAAATTTATCGGTTAGGGTTTTCATTTGTTCCTAAAGTTTTTTCATTTGATTATTTGTTTCCTTTTGAAATTTTTTCAGGTTTTCGTCTATTTTTGTTACCAACTTTGATTCCAAGTTTGACAAAAAATCGTGTTTTTTTTCGGTTTGCAACTATTGCAGATGTGGATAAGATTGTCGTTAAGTGTTCAGAGATCTTCTATAGTATTCTTTTCAAACTCTGTACCCTCTGTTGTTAAATGAAATGCTTTATTACAAATGCAACAAACGAATTTGTTGTCATTTTTAACTTTCTTGTTGCACGTAGCGCAGTTATCACGCGTCATTTCATTGCTTGAGTTCGATTGGGGCAATTGGATAGTTCGTTAGAGTTAGGGTGGAGTTTAAACACAAATTGATTTAAACTTATCCGGTGGCCCCTGAGGGGATCTTTAGAAAGTTTAAGCCAGAGGAGACAACTAACAAATTATACCCGTGAGCCCCTGAAGGGACCTTTGGTAGATTAATTTTATCTGTAACGGTCACGTAAAGATAAGGATAGAAAAAAGAAAAGATTGATGTATACTTGAGCTACCAGTTTCTGCACGTGCACTAACAATCGTTCAAAAGCTTCGAGTACTTCTTATACAGATTTTTTCTCTTGATGAGATTTTTCAGGTTTTTCAGACCGTCTCCGTTTAGATGGTAGTGATCGTTCGTAAAATATCTGTCACCTGTAATAAAAATCGCAACGTTTCTGAATTTCCACTTGACCTCGGCCTTCTAGTTAGATTTCCTTTCGGCTTTGGCGAGAAGTAAATCGTTTACAGATTTTGATCTCGTTTTGTTTTTGTCACGCTCTGGTACATCGATGACGAATACGTTGGAAGCTCGTTCACAAAGGAAATTTGCTTAGTCAGCAATGTTGTCGGCTACTTGAGTAGCTGGGTTTGAAGTCGATCGGGTGTAGTTATACAGATCGTTTCCGCCGACAAAAATAATGACGAGGTCGAACAGATTATGAGGAGGCAGATAAATGTAAAAGTGTTTTACACTGACACCGGGTAGTGACAAGACGTTCAAGTTTCCTACTCGAAGATGTCTGGCCTGGGAATCAGCAATTAGGAGTGGTCTGGTTGGAGAAGTCTTGAAGATATGGTATCTAGATTGTTTGCTATTTTGTGTTCTACTTGCAAAAGACATTCAGAATCTTGTCTCTAAAATCCCTCCATTGAGGGCCTTCCACACAAGATTACAGATATTTAACATGAAAAACACTGTTTAAAAAGTTTATCACAACAATTAGGCTGATGCAATAGAAAGTCATCTGCGCCCGATGAAATCCATCCAAACGTTTTATCGGTTTACGCGAAAGAGTTCTGGTGGCTCGAATGCGTGAAATCATGTAATAAAAAGTTGGCCTTGACAAATGCGTGCAGATGTCTTTAGGAAATATTAAAGAGCTCAGTGAGAAATTATGAAATCAAATGCGAGAAATCAATCTTGAAGATATGGCATCTGGATCGTTTGCTATTTTGTGTTCTACTTGCAAAAGACATTCAGAATTTTGCCTCTAAAATCCATCTATTGAGGGTCGTCCACACAAGATTACAGACATTTAACATGAAAAACCTTATTTAAAAACTTTATCACAACAATTAGGCTAATGCAATAGAAAGTCCCCTGGGTCCGATGGAATCCATCCAAAGGTTTTATCTGTTTACGCGAAAGAGTTCTGGTGGCTCGAATGCGTAAAATCATGTAATAAAAAGTTGGCCTTGACAAATGCGTGCAGATGTCTTTAGGAAATATTAAAGAGCTCAGTAGGAAATTATGAAATCAATTGCGAGAAATCAATCTTGAAGATATGGTATCTGGATCGTTTGCTATTTTGTGTTCTACTTGTCTCTAAAATCCCTCCATTGAGGGCCTTCCACAAAAGATTACAGACATTTAACATGAAAAACACTATTTAAAAAGTTTATCACAACAATTAGGCCAATGCAATAGAAAGTCCCCTGGGCCCGATTGAATCAATCCAAAGGTTTTATCGGTTTAAGCGAAAGATTTCTGGTGGCTCCAATGCGTGAAATCATGTAATAAAATGTAATAAAAAATTGGCCTCAACAAATGCGTGCAGATGACTGTAGGAAATATTAAAGAGCTCAGTAAGAAATTATGAAATCAATTGCGAGAAATCAATCTTGAAGATATGGTATCTGGATCGTTTTCTATTTTGTGTTCTACTTGCAAAAGACATTCAGAATTTTGTCTCTAAAATCCCTCCATTGAGGGCCTTCCACACAAGATTACAGACCTTTAACATGAAAAACACTATTTAAAAAGTTTATCACAACAATTAGGCTAATGCAATAAGTTTATCACAACCTTTTAGCCTAATTGTTATGATAAACTTATTAAATAGATTTGTTATGTTTGATGTTTGTGCCTGTTTGTGTAGCGCCCTCTGAGGGATTTTGGAGACAGATCGGTCAAGTGGCTTTCTGTGGGGAGGTGGGAAACTGGAACTGGCTTGATGAGTCTGGTGGTTGACTGCTGGACCTACTGAGCTCGGGTGAGATTGTTCCTTGTTTTTAATTTTTATAATTCGATTTTAAAATTTAAGTTATTTTAATTGTCTTTTATTTTTTTTGCTGATTTATAAAACTCCCACTAACCGCTTATCATGGGTTAGTTCAGTCCCCTAAAGTCCAGTCAAAATCCTTTTTTTACCTTTATACTGCGTCAAGATGAGGAAAAACAACATAGAGTGTACAAGCAAAAATTGCATAAAATCTTCAGGACTGATAAATTGGATTAGATGTGATTGTTGTCGTAGTTGGTTTCATAATATTTCTCTTAGCGACTCTAAGAAAAACCAATGGTTTCAGTGTCCTTTATACGTTGATGTTAAATCTGTTAATAAATCAATAATAGGTAACGATTTAGTTCTAGACAATTATGTTAAAACAGCCATCTCAAATGTCCGAGTACTCAAGAGAGTCCAAAAAACTCGCGTGTTCTCTTGGCGGAAAGTCTGTGAGACAAATTACATGACATCGTCTACAATGTAGAAGATGTTACAAAATGGCTAACTTTTTTTAACGTTGTTCTTGTTTTTTTTGGAGCAACCGAAAAGAAGTGGATGCAAACAGACCACAAGCCTGAGCTCTTTGATAAATAAAAAATTCGAGCAAATGACGTTTCACTTCCAAAACCCCATCCCCAAGTTTCAAGCCCGCCTCTGAGTGACTTCGAGCAGAGAATAAAGCTAATAATTAGTAAGCTTGATGAAGAAAATGTAAAGGGATGAGTAAGACTTGCTGCTTCGGATGACAAAATTGCTCCTTTTTCAACTGATATCTATCAAAAATTGTTGTCTAAGCACCCTCAGCAAGCCAAAATTGCAGCTCCAAATCCAGAAAAGTTGGATAGTTTTTTCGTAACCGATTTCGACCTATACAAAGCGATAATGTCCTTTCCGAACGGATCAGCAGCAGGTCCTGATAAAATAGTTCCTCAAATTTTTAAAGATCTTGTTAATAAGTCGAATGGCAGTGCAGGACTTAGTTTTAAGAAATCGTTACTAAGCTGAGAAACATCATTGGAGATGGCAAAATACCCGAACCCCTAAGACCTTTCTTTTTTGGCGCAAAGCTTATCGCCCTCATAAAAATAGACTTAGGGTTGAGACCGATTGCCATAAGCAACACGCTGAGACGTATCGCGTCTAAATGCGCTGGAAGCAATGCCCTCTCCGAGCGGCGAAAAAATTTATTCGGAAACGCAGAGGTAGGATGCGGTAACAAACGAGGAGCATAAATAGCTGCGCACTCGTTTCGAAACCAAATTGAACGCGACGACAATCCAAAAGGCACTGTTCTTTTAAAACAAGATTTTAGGAAAGCCTTTAACTCTCTAAATAGAGAAACCATGAGGAATTCAAATCGCCGCGAATTGTATAATTACACCCATTGCGCGTATGGTAAACCTTCAGATGACAACATTGCTCCTTTTTCAACTGATAACTATCAAAAATTGTTGTCTAAGCACCCTCAGCAAGCCAAAATTGCAGCCCCATATCCAGAAAATTTGGATAGTTTTTTCGTAACCAATTTCGACCTATACAAAGCGATAATGTCCTTTCCGAACGGATCAGCAGCAGGTCCTGATAAAATAGTTCCTCAAATTTTTAAAGATCTTGTTATTAAGTCGAATGGCAGTGCAGGACTTAGTTTTCTGAAATCGCTTACTAAGCTGATAAACCTCATTGGAGATGGCAAAATACCCAAACCCCTAAGACCTTTCTTTTTTGGCGCAAAGCTTATCGCCATCATAAAATTAGACTCAGGGTTGAGACCGATTGCCATAAGCAACACGCTGAGACGTATCGCGTCTAAATGCGCTGGAAGCAAGGCCCTCTCCAAGCGACAAAGTTTATTCGGAAACGCACAGGTAGGATGCGGTAACAAACGAGGAGCAGAAATAGCTACGCACTCGTTTCGAAACCAAATCGAACGCGACGACAATCCAAAAGACACTGTGCTTTTAAAACTAGATTTTAAGAATGCCTTTAACTCTCTAAATAGAGAAACAATGAGGAATCACGTTTATTCAAATCGCCCCGAATCGTATAATTACACCTATTGCGCTTATGGTAAAACTTCGGATGTCAACATTGCTCCTTTTTTGACCGATAACTATCAAAAATTGTTGTCTAAGCACCCTCAGCGAGCCAAATTTGCAGCCCCATATCCAGAAAAGTTGGATAGTTTTTTCGTAACCGATTTCGACCTATACAAAACGATAATGTCTTTTCCAAACGGATCAGCAGCAGGTCCTGATAAAATAGTTCCTCAAAATTTTAAAGATCTTGTTAGTAAGTCGAATGGCAGTGCAGGACTTAGTTTTCTGAAATCGCTTACTAAGCTTACAAACCTCATTGGAGATGGCAAAATACCCGAACCCCTAGGACTTTTCTTTTTTGGCGCAAAGCTTATAGCCCTCATACAAATAGAGTGAATTTGAGACCGACTGTCATAAGCAGCACGCTGAGACGTATCGCGTATTGCCATAAGCAACACGCTGAGACGTACCTTTTTTACGGAAGCTCTGTCATAATGTCAGGAGACGAAACTCAACAAGGTGATCCTGAAGCCCCATCCCTTTCTGCGGAAACATTTCATACACTAGGCAAACAGTTGGAGTCGAAAAGTAACATCTGGTATTTAGATGATGGAAATTTAGCCGACGAGTATAAGGTACCTCCGGGACCTCAAAAACATTCTGAGATCGGAACAAAATTACGGTCTGAGCTTGAACACTGAGAAGTGCGAACTTTGTTTTTTGAGACCGACTACTAGTACACAGTATAATTCAGTTTTAACACAATTTCGAAACATATGCCCTTAAAATAAAAATAGAAACAAAAGAAGAACTCCTCAATTAAGGATCTCCAATCGGCGAACTTTGCACTTGTCATCTTCTTTTAACATTATCACTTCCATATCTAGAAATTTCCAAGGATTTTGACTGGAATACATGATGAAGGGACTCCTGACTGTAACCTCGGTTACTATGATACTTTGACCTTCTGATTACTTTAGCATAATAAAGAGAAAAGAAAAAAAAATTGCGAGAAGATCAACGAATTCGAAATTGAGAAAAACCTATGCTCTTGGATGGACAACATCTGACCTTCGAAACACTTATCAACGAAAAAGTATCAAAAGGAAATTTCATGATAGCAATTATCATAAAAACTTTCTCGAAACGGACAAATCAAGTGGCTTGATCTACAAAGGCTTGGGCTTGATACGACCACACCTTGAATTTTCCAATCTAACCTGTTACCCCAAATTGAAAAAGCTCAGAGAGAGAGAGAGAGAGAGAGAAAGAGAAAAAGTTTAATTTAAACACCTCAAATGAGATAAAACTAAAATGTTCACTGTCTATGAAGGATTTTCACCAACCGCATTCTAGTTTGTAGATCCTTGAGATACGAGCAGTTGTCTAGCACCTGGTTGTAGTTATCAGCTGCAGAGTCTCATTATTTACAATCACATGAGCAGTCCGGTTTGTAGCAGCGTTCAGTCTTACAAATCGCGTTATGTAGGCCGTTGTTATAGTAGCTGGCTATGGCTCTGCGCGTTTGCCCAGTTGATTTTTCGATGTTCAGAAAGTCGTTTTCAAAAATGTGATGTAGCAGTCGGCTAGTAGACGCATATTTGGATAACCCAGACCAGCGTTTCCAGAAGTACCCTGCAACTGGTTTTGCGTGCTCTAAACTGTCTGTAAAAATGCTGCAACCGTAAGCAGCCGATGGCAGAATAACACTCATGAATAGTCTGTGTGCATGCTGGAGCTGTAGTTTTTGAATATTGACTTTTGCAAACAAGGCGTTGATGTTGTTTATACCTTTTCTTCGTCTTTCATTCAAGTGGGCGGTTTTCTTGTTGGTGGCCCAAGTATTCAAAGGAGTTGGTGAATTCAATGTCTTCCCCCATGTAGTAGATGCAATCTGTACTCTTTAATCTGCCTCCGCGGCGAAATTTTATGACTTTTGTCTTACCGACATTAACGTTCATGTTGTTGTTTTTACAGTAAATACCGAGCCTGTAAAGAGCCAACTGGATGTCAAACGGTGATGATGAAGTGATTACTACATTGTCTGCATAGAATATGCAGAAACGCTTACACTGAACAAAAATTTCTGCCAAACCAGCAATAAACAGGGAAAACAAAAGAGGAGAGAGTTTGTCTCCTTGTGGTAGACCAAGCCGCTGGAGTATCGGGGAAGATAGATAACCATCATTAACGACATGTACTATATTGTGACGTAGGATATCATGTAGGACGAGCATAAAATTGTTGGATACACCCATCTTCGCCAATTTTTGTAATAAAGTAGAGCGATCAATGCTGTCGAAAGCCTTACGGAAATCGATGAAGCACGCATAGAGGTGGCCATTTGTTGCGATTGATGTGTCAATGTTCTCCCTGAGAATGCTAATAGCATGAATGGTTGATCTACCTCTACGGAAGCCATACTGGACGTCAGGAATTTTTCCATGCTGTTCGCACCAAGTAGCTAGCCGGTTGTGGAGTATCGATGTATAACATTTATATATACAGTTTAAGAGGGCTATGCCCCGGTGGCAATCCGGATCTTTTTTGCTGCCTTTTCCCTTGTAAAGCGGTATCAGATTTGACACTCGCCAGGCATCGGGAATGGCTTTTGAGTCAAAACAGACCTGGAACAGCGTAAAAATAAGCAAATACAGGAGACCAAAACTTTGTTTCAAAAAATCACCGGTAGTCATATCAGGTCCTGGACCTTTGTTGTTGGCTTGTCTTGATATTGCTTGTGTAACTTCTGGTAGAGAAATTGGGCGGTCCAGGTCGTCGTAGTAGTCGCATGAACTGGGTTCTTCTGGGAAGCTAACGTCTCTCTCGCCTTGGAATAAGGCTTCAAAATGAGTCATCCACACGTCTTGTTGTACTTGAGATGGCATGTTGGGGCGTTTCTTGCTACTCAAAATGCTCCAAAACTTGGATCGGTCAGCTTCTGCTGTGATAATAATAGTTTCTTCGCGATCTTTCTCGTGTGCTGTGCGTTTTTTTCTGCATAGTGCCTTGAAAGACCGTTTCGCTTGAGAATAGCTCCCCAAATTGCTTTCCCCGGTATTTGTTAGGTACTATTGTAGTTTCAAAGTTTTGTGCGCTTGATAGAAGTGCCTTTCGAACCACGGCTTTGAATGTCTCTTCTTGCGTGGTCTCGAGATGTTGTAGCTTAATTTAAGGAAATGAGAGTAGCAGTTATTTGAATCTGACAAGTTGTCATACATGACAAGTTGATGCTGTTCGTAGGTGTTAGGGTCGAAGAGGAGGGCGTGCTGTTTCCTCTTGTCGACTTTCCCGGCATGAAAAACTATTCTGCAGGAAACAATCTGATGTTTTGTCTGAAACATCTGTTGCGTAGCCGGAATTGTTGCTGTTATATTTTTTGTAAAGAAAAGATCAATCGTACTCGAGCCGTTGTGGGAATAATAAGTGCAATTTTTTGGAGAGTTGATGCAGCGGAGGCCAGAAAATTGTAGGTTTTCACATAGGATCTCACCCCGTACGTGATCACCATCAATGCGACCGTTGAAATCGCCACCGAGTAGAATTTTTGCACAGGTGGGCACTGTGTCTAGGATTTGGCAGATGTCAAGAAGAATATCATCAACGCAGGTGTTCGGTGGGTAGTAGCAAACAATGATGGAAAGTAAGTTAACAGATACACACAGCATATTTTCATTTCTATAGATCTCGGTGTTTCTGCAGTCTAGGCTCTGGCTGACGCAAATAGATAAGCCTCCCATAGGCCGTCCTCTCTGTGGCTTCACGGCTTCGGCAAAGTAACAGTAAAAACCTGGTAAAAGGCATGAGTTGTAATGTGTAGCTAGCGATTCTGTTAGTAGTAATATATCCGTGTCGAGTTCATTGTTTGTCAGTAGTGGATTGTTTGTCTTAGCACTTTCTATGTTTCACAGAATTACTTTAAGCTCTTCTGTGTTAGGTTTCATTGACTGCTGTAGTCATTGTGAAACCACCATATTGTTTCTAATAATCCATGTTTTTTCCGAGTCATTCTCTTTCTTGCTTCTCAGCTCTTGTCGTAGCTCATACTGCTGTGCTTGTTCGGTTTTTGTATAGTCAGGGTTGATAAGTACTCCCTTAAATTCATCGCAATCTTTCAATTTTTTGCTACTTTTCAGTAGTTTTAGACGTGTTATGGTGTCTTTGAACGTAATGATGAGGAGCGGATTCGCATTGGCGTTGTTTTTGTTTTTGATTCGGCGTGTTGTAAATTCGTCTTCTTTAAGTGTGACAGAAACCGCACTAGCTAGATCTGTTAGCATCTCTTTGTCGGTTTGATCTTTGTCGGCTTTCAAACCACGGATAACAAGGTTGTTTGATTTTTCCGTTTGTTGTTTTTCTTCCGCTTTAACCTGTTCAACAATGGTGGCGCAGAGACTGCTGTTTTTCATATTCTTAGTAATTTTGGCGTAAGAGGGTTCAGTCTTCGTTTCATGATGCACTTTCAGTTCTGCTAGTCTTTTTGTGGCACAAAAACCACAAAAAAGTCTGCTTTTTCTAGAGTTGCAACGGCGATAGATTTTGGCAATGAAACTGTTGTCCATATTTCACAGCCGTCGCTGGAGAGCCCTATTTCTTTCTTTATGTAGTTGTTGGAATCTCGTCTTGTAATCATTGTCCCAGATGCTGGTGATAATCAAGATCAATCGTACTCAGAAATCCTCTTTTTGAGCTCTCCTTCTGAGCTTCTCCAAGCTCAGAAGGATTTTGGAAAATGTGCAGAGAAGAGCGACCTGTCTCTTTGAGGGACTCCAAAGCTTATCTTATTAATAAGAATTTTTTAAAATTGTTAATTCAAACGTTTTCGCACATTTTGTGCATCGTCAGGATATAAAATTTTTCATTTACAATAAAATGATCAAAGATCATGTATGAAATTCAAAAAGAACATGTTAGAAATTTTATCTTATTACAAACGTCTTTAAAGTTTAGACAGCATCACTTGCGTGCAGAAAATAAAGGATGGTGATATGCTCCGGGTTTTTTATGACAGAAACTCAACTGCTGGTCTCTTTGAGGCGAACGAAAGAGACTCGAGAATAAACTCTAGCAAAGTAATGGTGAAAAAAGCAAATCTGGAAACCAAGGAGAATTTCTTTACAATACGATTTTGAAGCGACTGTAAAATTTTTTCCATGTGTAAGGGTACTTAGCAAGTCCACCACCTGCTTCAAATGGAGTCTTGACGGTCACTGGAAAACAACCGGAATTAGCATGTAGAGACATAACTGGAAAAGGATGAATTGACTACAAGAAACGCAGCGCCTAACGGTCATAAAAACTTTGACTAATTCTTTCATTTATGTACTCATAATTTATGAAATATGCTTTATCGGTTTTGAAACCATATATCCGTGAAGCTGCCGGTAACAAACAACTTTCTGCAGGTCATGAAGCTGGATGTGAAGCCGCTATTCATGCGATCAGAAAAATGTTTACGGACCATGATTGCGAAGGATTGCTTTTAGTGGATGCCGAGAATGCGTTCAATGAACTCAACAGGCATACAGCCCTGAGAAACATTCAGTACTGTGTCCTGGATTCTCCACAATTTGCACTAACTTTTATCGAGAGCCTTCTCAACTATATCTTTCTGTTGATACCATTCAGTCGGAAGAAGGAACCACATAAGGTGACCCGTTAGCTATGCCTTTTTTTGGAGTCTCAGCATTGCCCATTATCAGCGCCACGGAAACATCAGGGTGCAAACAAGTTTGGATTGCTGACAATGCAACCGGAATAGGAGACGTAGACGCCCTCAAGATGTGGTGGGACAAAATCTCTACATTCGGACCGAGCTTTGGGTACTATCCGAATGCGAAGAAACCTAAAGTTCTTGTCAAACCAGAGTTTGAGGAAAGAGTCAGGGAGATATTCAAGAAATCGAGCGTAGACGTTCTCACGGAAGGACATCGCGTTCTTGGATCAGTTGTTGGAAGCCAGAAGTTTGTTGAACAATACGTATCAGGTTTGGTGGAAGAATGGCTTGCTGAGCTACAGACGCTGAGCGACATTGCAAAAACGGAGCCACAGGCCGCACTATCTTATCTGACCCATGGCTTGCAAAGCAGGTACACTTTCTTACTCAGAACCACACCTGACATCATCGTGTCTGTTCGAAAGATTTTGATGTTGAACATGCGTTGAGCTGCTCGAAGGGCGGCTTTCCAATAGTTCGTCACAACGAAATACGCGATTTGTTTGCAACTGTTCTGTCACAAGTTTGCCACGATGTAGCACTTGAACCTCAGCTGCAAGAAGTAGACCGGACTCTAACACCAGGTTCAAATTCTCAAGCTGGCGCAAGATTGGACACCAGCGCAAGTGGTGTTTGGGGAGGTAGATTTGAGAAAACGCAGGTTGACGTTCGAGTGTTCAGTCCACTCTGTAAGACCAACAGTGGACCAATTCTACAGACGTCATGAGACAGAAAAAAGGAGGAATTACGAATCGCGAGTGCTCGATACTGAAGGTGCGTCATTCTGCCCAATAGTTTTATCAACCTCTGGGGGTCAGGCTCCTGTCACACAAGCACTAGTGAAACGACTTGCCACCCTACTATCAGAAAACTCGACATTCCACGCCCTATCACAACAAGCTGGCTGAGGAACCGATTGAGCATGGCCATCACTCGATCCTGTATCATGTGTCTGAGAGGTGCACGATCGAGGTCGAAAGCCCTAGCTCGTGCTTGTGATTCTTATGCCATCGAAACATCAAACTCATTGACCCAGAACACGTTGTAGAACTGAGCCTCGTATATTTGTTTTGCTTTCTCGAAGACTCAAGCCTTCAGTACACAATATTTTGTTTTGTTTCCGTATCAAACTGTTTCTTCATTGGTTTTCCATATCTACAACTCAATCTTTACAAACGTGAAGTAAATTAAACGTTAAAAACAACAAAAATATGAAGAAGTAGTTTGGTATACCATTTGGAATTTCTGTCGGACAGAAGTTGGAATCGCAATCATAAAACATCAGCAGAACTATTGCTAAGTGACAATAAGTTCTGGCGAAACTGGCTGTTTCTCAATTCACATTCTCTACGCTGTGGCTGTTAACCATCAAGGTGGTTAAATCAGTGGCTCCGAAGGACAAAAAATGATTTGTTACCCATTCTGGCACTTCTAAAAGCCGAAAAGACTCAATTAAATGATAAAAATATAGATCAAATAATAGCAGATTTAATATTTTGCTAGAAGGGAGCGGTTTTTAAGAACTTTTTGTTTCTTAAAGATCGATCTTCTGAACTTTTCTAAGACTTTTTTAAAACACACTTGAATGTAACTCGATTTAGCTTGATATTGACAGATAATATTAACGCAAAGTTTATGCTATAGGTAGTTTTGAACAGTTGCTCCATTTCTGTAATCTCTGTTCATGGTTGAATAATCGGTCTCAAAGTAAGAGCCAATTCCCGTGGAATGCAAATGATCGGTTGGTGTGTAATAGTCCATTGATATGGGATTTGAAGGGTGAGTAATGAGTCCCCCAGCTGAAGAAGCAATAGGCGAGGGGGGAATCATAGGGTAGAAGGAGGACTCGGGGAACTGAGGTAGCAGCGAAGTCTGTTCGTAGGAATCGAAGGATATCAGGATCTGGTCCAGGAATCGGATGTAGTTGATAGCGAGCCGAAGAGTATCCACCTTGCTCAGTTTTTTCTCGTATGGCAAAGTGGGGATGTGTGACTGAAGACGTTCAAACGCTTCATTGATGGCCTTCCCGAATAGACAATGAACAGTTCATTTTGATTATTTTTTAAAAGTTAGAAGTTATTGGTGTAATGTGGATTTGAGTTAGCTGAAGTGTCCATCCAACCCATAGTTTATTTTTTAATAAAGCAGTGAAAAAAGTTCAAATGTGAGAAACACTGAGAAGGGTTTGAATTTTTGCTGGGAGAGCAGTTTTTGCCGATTTCAAGCAGTTTTTTTTCTTATTAGCTTGTTAAATATGGTACAACAATAATCATTTGCAATTCATTCTGTTTTTTTTTAAACGCCAGGAGGCGCGTTTGAAATTTAATCTCGTGCTGAAAAACCGTTGTTTGTGTAAAAATCTACAGAAACACTCATTCTTTTTTCGACCACTCAAAGAGTAGGTGGTATGGTCGTAAAGCATGTAGTATTGTTTTTCTACTCGCGATTTAAGGTTCCTCAATCAAAGCAAGCACGTATGGGGTAGAGTGCTTTCATATGCATTAAAAGCCTTTCAGTGGTGATTAGGATTCCAAAAATACTTAAGGATTCCAAAATTGTCGCGAAAAATTGGCCTGATTTTTCAGACTAATTTGCAGTGTAGATTTGGTGAAATATAAGGTCACGAACGCCAGCCTGAGCTAACTGTATTTTTCAAAGTTTGTTTCAGCGATTATTAACTGCTTTTTATAGTTTAATAAACCTCTCGATGCCATAAACCTCGAGAAAATTGTATCGAAAAACTTATGGAAAGAAAAGATTTTGGTGCAAATATCACGGTTTTCGAAACACTCTGTTTTTGCATATAAATGTACTCTTGATAAACCTATGAATGTTTGAAGTGTTCATTGTGTTGGTTGCCTTCATGCGTCTTCTCTCGCGCTGATTGGCAGCTTGTCGCTGATGATATGCAACCGGGCCACTCTTTCGCTTCCTTTTCTTCTTCTTCAGGGAGTTGCTGTGCTCGAATTGCGTGGAAGAGGCGAAACTGTTGTCCAAATCCGACAAGTTCATGTCTGCTGTGTTTGTTGAACTTCGTAAGTTTGTGGAGAATAATTTCTGATTATACTCAGAAAATTCCGCTTCTTGGCTTGAATTAAATTCTACAGATGTCGCAATTTCACTCATTTTGAGGCAACTCGTGAATTTAATTTTATTATGTTGCTGTGGTAAGTGTTTTTTTTATATGATAAATTTCCCAACTTAGAAGTGCTTGACTATTCTTAATTGAAATATTTTATGTATGCGGGATAAACAGATGCTAAACTTCATTAAAATTAGGCCACTTGAAATTTTTCCAATTATAGTCTTGAAAAAGAGTTCTCACTTGTTTGTTTATTACTTCACAAGTGTAGAGAATACTCACTTCTTTTTGATTGTTGCATCCAAATTGTGGCGGATAGTTTTGCTCTAATTTCTAAGAGTTACAGCCTATTGTTATTGCGCATCATTGAAACATCAGATCAGATGTATTGTTTTTGTTTATGAGTTGAGCAATCGAATCTTTTGAAGCGATTATATCAGTATAAGCTTATAAAAAATAACAGGGCGCGTTTGTTGCACAAGTAGGATGGATATTAACAACCTCAACTTTTTCGGTTTTTCCACTGAACTTTGCGAAGAAATAGAAATGAGTACAATTCTTTCAAAATTTTGCCGTCATGTTTAGGTTTCTTTCACAGGAGGCTTTGTAAAACATGATTAGGGTTGAAACCCATTAATACGTTTAAAATTTCACCGAAATAGTTCAATTTGTTTTTATTCGACGGTCCGCGCGTTTTTATATTAAGCTATTTTATTAACGAACTCTTATACTCGTTTTGTTCAATTTCAACTAACTGCTTTTTAAAATGAGTTGTACTTTTGTATAGAACTGTCAGTCTGTTTTTAGGGTTTGTTTTGGCATGGATGATGTTGAATATGAAAATGAGTTGTTTAATCAGGCTGCTAATTTTGTGCAAACTCAAGCGAACACTATGAAAGCGGAAGACCTTCTGTATCTCTATGGGCGCTATAAACAGTCATTAGAGGGTGACTGCCACACACAAGCGCCCTCGTTCTGGGACTTGACTGGAAAGAGAAAGTATAGCTGTTGGAAAAGTCTGGCTGGTATGGAGAAGTCACGTGCTCAGATGGAATACGTGGAGAAAGTGTCTAGTCTATTCCCAGATTGGGAGACTGAGGCTTCCAAGACTGGCTCACAGGGGTTCAGATTGTCAAATTGGGCTGTCAGTCGCCCAGTAAAGGAGGATTGTGTGGAAGATAGTAGTGATGATTCTAAGTCAATCTACGACTGGTGTCAGATTGGAAATTGTGAAAAAGTGAGAGAACTTTTGACATCCAAGAACATTCCCTCTGTCGACGATCCAGATCCACAATCAGGAATGGCTTTAATACACTGGGCGGCTGATCGCGGCAATTATGACATGTTGAAAATGTTGTTAGACTCTTTTAATGCGGACATCAATGTGAAAGACAGTGATGGCCAAACAGCCTTGCATTATGCAGTTTCGTGCGAACATTTAGAAGCTGTTCAATTGCTCTTAGATTTCGGTGCCGATAGAACTACAAAAGATAACGAGGGCTTGCTCATTGTTGATTTGGATATCGAAAACAAAGACATAAGGGAATTGCTGCGTAGCTCTTAGTAATTTAGACATTAATTTTTTTGATTATTGACTTGGTATCAAATGGAAGTCGAAATAGTGTTTTGTATTAATTTAATTGTCTCTAATGAACTTCGCCTTGGTGCTAAATTCCCAGCGAAATAATCAAATTATTTATTGATTCAGTTTTTATGGCAAGTGCCCGATTCTGTGGACTGTCACTGCCCTGTAAATCGTCTCAAAAACGTTCGCAACGAAAATATAAACAACATAAATCCGGCACGCAAGATAATTATCAAATTTTCGAGCTCATTTATTCTTCCTCAATGATCTTGTAAATTTGTTTTGGAAGTTGCTTCACAATGATGTCCTTGTTTGGATGGAGTTCAAAAATTTGAATATATATATTTTTTCGGTCTTGTTGAAATAATTTGTTTGGTGGTAACGTTTATTACCCAAGCAAAGCTTGTGTGATTGTATGAACTCTATTTTTTCCAAGCTAAGTCGCAAATATTGTTGTGATGAAATTGTTGCGACAGAATTTGTTCATTTTGAAAGTGTTCATTTTGATCCAGCTATTAAGTACAGCCAATACTAAGGATATTAACACAGCTTACTTTTTAACAAATAGCTCTTTAGCTTCTAGGTACCATGAATCTGTAGCGTAGATGTAGGGAAGGAGACCCGCAACAAAATAAAAGGGCTCGAACCTGGGCAGGATCGGATGTTTTTGAATGAACTTTTTCGTATACTAGTTAAAATGCGTCCACTCTATAAATTGAGGTTTGTTAGTTGGTATTTTTTTTTCGAATTGACTGCTAATGCGTCATAATTGGCTTGCGTCACTTAGCAATTATTTAGACTCAGTTTTTCCCAGTAACATTATTGGTCATGTTTTTGCTTGTGTATGCGAAGTGCAACTTTGCCTCTGTGATTTAGAGTACTTTTTGAACGCAAGAAAAATTTTGACTAGTTCTCAAATTTTTTTTGCGATTATTCAAAAGCTTAATGCGTGGCTCATCAACGCGCCTTTTCTTTTTTTCCCCTTCTTTACGCGAAATCTCTGATCGCCTCACCTTTCATTTCAGTTCAGTCTTAGCAGCAATTTGTATCGTTTAAGATAGGGTTCTTAAAACATTTTTCAAAATGACACATCTTGAATGACTCTTTAAAAGCATGAATCAGTTTTTTTAATGTATGCAGGCGTTTCTTTTTGAAATTTTTTTCAAAGCAAAGTTTTTAAAATTTTTTTGTTCGTTATTTTGGCGGTTGCACTTTTTAAGTGTCAATGAACCAAATGAGTGTTCACTTATTTGGTTTATGGTCGTTTTTTGGATCTTGTTAACTATTTTACCCCATATTGGAACGTAGTTAACTGTTCTCCCTCTATGCATGTATTAATTTTGACAACCCTTTCCGTATGAAATTTGCATTTTCAAATTGCCAACAATTAATTGGGGTTTCGTTTTCGTGAGTTCGAATTTGTTATACTGGCTATTTGAATCATACGTAAAGGAAGAAGTTGAATCAAATTAATTCTCTGAAAATAGTTAGAAGCTATTTTAAAGATGGCAACCAAGTTTGAGTTTCTGGAAATCGAATTAATTGTTAAGATCTTTTTTTTGTCTTTTTTATCCTTTTTTTGAAGAAGTAAAAGAATTTATAAGTTGTTTTGAAACCAATTTTGGCGATCGAGTTAGTTTTTAATAAAAAAAATGCCATATATGTAAAGAAAGCGACTACTTGAGCTCAAATATAAAAGATGTTTTCCTGCAATTCGTTTTGATTACGTTCTGGAGGCATGAAATTTGCAAATTTAGCTTTGTGCTGGGCTAATTTATCCGCAGTAAAGATTTGCTTATGATATTGAAAGGGTAACTCGAATTTTTTTACTTGACGAAGTATCAAAACAATTCCGCACTCAAAATTGTTCAGGATTGAATTAAGACAAGCTAATTGGTCATATTAATTGCATTAGTTTTTTCATATAAAACTCTTTATTTTAATCCGCATAATGTTGTATTTCAAGACGTGTCATTTGACTCGTCAGCTCATTAAATCAATATCAAGGCGTTAATCCGAATATGTTGCGTAGAGGTAATGCACATGCGTGTGAAACAGGTTCGAATCAGGCCAGTCATTTTTTCTAGACGGAAAATTTTCCGCGTGACTTGAAACTTTTATCGGACTTATAATTGTTTGCTTATGTTTTGTCGGAATGTGCCTATGATTTACGCATTTTTAACTGAAAGTCAAAGTTTTTTGAAAATCAGATTATTTATTTCTAAGTTATTATGTTCCAATAAGTTTTCCAATGCTTAAACTAGCTGTAAATTTTCCAATGCATTTTTTTTTTCATTGCAAACTTTTTTGATGTAATCTTTGAGTTTTTAAAATTAGATTTTTACTTCTTTGTTCAATTGGTATGCTTGCGTTGTATCGTAGCTGTTGCGAAATATATTTTTAAATAATATTAATAATATTTTTTGGGTCAGTTTTGCTAATATTGAGATAACGTCTTACGTATTTTTTAGTTTTGTTGCAAGAGACGTTAAAAAACCTGTTATCAAACTCATGTCCCCAAGGATTATTTATAATTTCAGGCAAGTTTGGTCTGTTTGTTATCGTAAATGGAGAGCTTAACGTGAGACTTGATATTCACCAACAGTTGGAATACAATTTCTTCTCTGGTTGCGATGGTGACAACTAGGCGCCAGTCTTCGAAACTGAACGAGAGCAACGGATCACCTGCTATTCATGGCTCATCTGCAGTGGCCTCGCCTGGCGGAGACGCGCCCACTCCTCAGTCTAGAATGAGAAGTAACGAGAAACGCTTTCCAAATAAGGAGAATAGCTCTCCCAGTACAATGCTTAACGGCGATACATCCAAAAAGATGCCCTATATGGAAATTTCGACTGCAGAAAATGGCACGCTTTCTTCAAACGATTACGTAAAGTCGGGATTCGAGAGCGAAGCTGATTGGCGGAAAGACAGAGGAAACATTGTGTTGTTGTTTCTGTTGTATGTGCTGCAAGGGATCCCATTAGGCTTCGCAGGCAGCATCCCTTATATTTTGATGACTCGTAAAGTAGACTATGCTTCCCAAGCACTCTTCTCCTTCGCATTCTACCCCTTTAGTTTCAAACTGATCTGGGCGCCTATTGTGGACTCCCTGTTCAGTCGCAGAATGGGTCGGCGTAAGACGTGGCTCATCCCGATCCAGTATCTAATAGGACTATTTATGATCTACATTTCACTACATGTCAATGATTTGCTGGGCGTGGATGGTGAAAAGGCAGCTGAAATCAACCTGCTCGTGTTCTTGTTCACTTCGCTCAATTTTTTCGCCGCTACTCAGGTAAATCCTTGATGTGATGACTTGATGTTTTTCGAAGTTCACTTGGTAATTCAGTGGCTGTTTTTGTAAGAAAGAAAGAAAGAATATATTTTTCCTTTTATAAACAATATATCAGCATAATTAAATTTGCCACATTTAAAGCAGGAACGGATAGACAACGGGACATGTTGGTCCACTAAAAGTCTACCCTTCTATTCAAATGAAACATCTCTAATGAAACAAATCAAATTAAACAATGCGAGCAAATATATTTTTATTTAAATACAAAAGCTACAGCTCGTGAAAAAAAAAATTATATTTGTATCTATTTATAAATTTATGTTGACATTAACTAACTACTGACCTTAACAGTACTAAACTTAACAATACTTCCAGGGCGCTGTAATATTATATGTATAATTTTATTTTTTTTTCAAGTTTTTCAAAAAAAAATTATTGAGAAAAATCCAAAAAAAAATCAAAAAACCTCGATATCTCGAAAACTAGAAGGATTTGGGAGGTCATTTTTTTACACAAAAAAGCTGATATATAGCTGGTAGTCCTGTAGCATGCAACCAACGGGTGTGGGTTTTAAATTTTTTTTATAAGCCAAATATATGTTTCACTAATTCATGGTTTTGTACCAGGTATATTTTCAAAGAATGGTAAATTGCCGAAATTTCTGAAAAAGAACAACTTTTGACGTGTGCAGGTATCAAATTCAGAACCCGCAGCTTATTAAAAAGTTTACAAGCGCGATATCGAATCGAGAAGCTCTCAATTTTGCGTTTACAAAATGGTTCGAACAGAAGGCTGATATCAGAATTTCTAGTAGCTCTTTTTGCATTTTGAAAAACAAATAAATCATTCAGAAAGCTATCATTATGAACACCAATAACTGATTTAAGAACACATTTTAATAGCTCATAGAGATGATACTCATAAACGGTTAACAAACTATATTTTTCAAAAATATCATCACTACGATCTCGACGTTTTCTGAAAAAAATGAATTTGAGGATTTTCTTTTGTAAAACATTGAGTTGTTCCAGCTGCGAATAGCTGCAACATCCATAAATTAAAATGCCATACTGGAGAATGGGAACGACATTGCTACTGTAGTATTCGATCATTTGAGACCTCGGCACGTAATGCCGTAGCTTTGAAACTATACCGCATTGTTTACTAAGTTTCTTTTTGACGAAATCGATATGACTTTTAAAAGAAAATTTGGAGTCTATGTAAATGCCTAAATATTTACAAACAGGTTTCGTATTTATCGAGCAAGAGTTAAACTGAAATAAATGATTGGAACTACTTAACTTTACATTCATTTGAACTGTTTTGGATAGGTTAATCACCAATTTATTTGCATGTAGCCAGTTATTTAAAGACGTCATGTCTTTTTGAACGTCAATTATTTGACAACCTATTGATGTTAGATTCGTATCGTCTGCGAATAGCAAAACTTCCGATGTTTCGCATGCTTTAGAGAGGTCATTTATATATAATAGAAAAAGCAAAGGACCTAAAATTTAGCCTTGTGGTACACCACATTCTATTTTACTCCAGCTAGATGAAACACCATTTACTACAACTCGCTGTATGCGATTACTGAGATATGAGCTCAACCATTTTAAACAGTTACCCCTAAACCCATACATATCCAATTTGTATAGTAAGATATTATGGTCAATAGTGTCAAAAGCTTTCTTCAAGTCAAGGAAAAAACTAAAAATTCCATTCGAAGAAGGATACATTCTAATTCTTTCGGTAAGTTCAGCAAGTGCATCAATTGTGCTATGCTTATTACGAAAACCAAATTGTTTTGCGTAAAAGAGAGAAAAAATCTCTAAATAAGAATAAATACGGTTATACATAATGTGCTCATAGATTTTACTCCAAACAATTAAAAGTGAAATTGGTCTATAATTGTTCTCATCAAGTTTTGATCCATCTCTATGAAGCGGCAGTATTTTCGCTTTACAAAGTTCTTTAGGAAACACGCCTTTTGTGAATGATAAGTTGATTAAGAAGCTTAGATATGGTGCCACGACTTTCGCTGAAGTTTTCACAATAAGGTTACTGATGTTATCATCACCGGACGAGCTTTTATTATCTAGGTAATTTAGGACTTTAAAAACTTCTGTTTCGCATGTTTTTTTCAGAAGCATGGAAAATGGAACATATTCAACGTTAATTCTATCAACATTAGGAACATCATTTTGAATTCCTTTTCCAACTGTTGTGAAAAAATAGTTAAATTTATCAGCAACATCTCTGTCTGTTGCATTATCGTTTTCATCAATTCATGATTGCAATGGAGGAATCTTGCTGTTTTCGTTACTTTTACCACTGATATCGTTTAAAATTTTTATATGTCTGCCTTGAGTCTCCTATACAGTTTTTGAATTTATTTCAATAATAATTCTTTTTAGATAATTTTATTTCTCTCAAAACGATTTCTTAAACTTCTGAAATTTTGAAGCAGTTGATAATTATTCTGATTCAACTTCCATTTTTTGTGTGCATTATTTCGCTTTGTTCTAAGGTTTTTAAGTTTATTTGTGTACCAGGCGGGTTGCTTTGTGACCAAATTTTTCATGGTTTTTAATGGTGCAAACATATTCAATACCTCTTCGAAAGATTTTGCGAACAAATTGAAAGCTGCATCTGCATCATTCATTTCGAAAATTACTATTTTATGTGAGGCCAATTTACTTTCCGCAATTTTTAAAAATTCTTCAACTTGGCTCCGACTTTTTAGGAATGATGTATCGCGAAACGGAATTTCATTATTAACAATTTGACACTTTATGACCCATTCCAAGTGTATTGGATAATGATCTGATAAATGTTCACTATTTAGTACCATTGAATGAGGTTCAGTTCAGTTAAATTGTCGAAAATGAAATGATCCAAACAAGTTAAAGAGGTGGCTGTAACGCGAGTTGGTTCACGACCGTTTATCGAAAAACCATTTGAATGAATACAATTTAAATAACTGGCTCAGTAAGTTATCAGGTATTATATCAATGTAAAGATCACCACAAAGAATGAACGGATGATTTGCACTTTTTGAATTTTCCAAAAACTCATCAAGCCTATCAATGAATTGCATTTTGTTTGATATTGGTGGGTTATAAATCACACATAATGAGAATTTATAGCCATTGTTTAAGATATCGACCGTTAAGCTTTCTTCTGAAAATGAATCAAGTTGATTCAGCAAGCAGCATGTGTTTCTTGCTTGGATCATTACACCACCACCTGGTGTTTCGCGATTTTTTGTAAAATACTGATTATAACCATTGATTAACCAGCTTTCACTTGGATCTTTTTTAGTTAACCAAGTTTCCGTTATACAAATTATATCAGGTGGAGACTCAAGGCTTAGAATAAGTGCTTCCAATTTGTCGAAGTGCGGTTTTAAAAATCTTATATTTAAATGTAGCACCGAAACTTATTAATTTTATTAATTAAAGTACTGTTATTCTGTGAAATATTTGGTTTTGAATTAACGACTTTAACATCACTAGATTGTTTACGATCCTCCTTTATCTCCTGCCTCGTGGAAAACACTTTGGAAACAATTCATCACATCTTGAAATCTGTATTTCAAGGAACTCCCGCCTTCATAAAGTCCATCGATACGATATAGTCGCTCGTCTGCCTTCCATATATAATGGATTACACCTTCTCGGGTCCACGCAGATTTATTTCGGCAATCACTCTTCATCATTTTTATGAAATTGACACGAGCCTTTGATAAGTCTTCAAAGACGCTTATATTTTTCAAACCTTCTTTATCTGCCATCTTTTTTTTTGTTTCGCAGCAAGTTGATTTTGGCGATTCTTCTGGCGAAACGAACGATAATTGGTTTGCCTCTATTTGATCGAGATGGCAATCGATGAGCTATTGAGATATCTGACGCTCGCACATTTGCACCAATATCATGAGAAATATCCACTACCTTCGCTATTGTTGTATCAAAGTTCTCACGATTATTCTCCCCTTCCAAACACTCGGGGATTCCTAGAATTCTTAGGCTATCTCGTCGATTATATGATTCAAGTTTTTCTGCTTTAGATAAAGTCCTAAGATAGCTGACATTCGCCTGAGATGCTATTTCCATTTTGGAGGATGAGATAATTTCCTTCTTCATGTTCTTTATTGCGGACTCAACAGCGACGTTGATTGCAGTCATTAGTTGCGCTTTGTTTTGCTCTACAAGGCTGGGTATCAACAACTTCATTGACTCTTCAATGGTATGCTTCAGCTTTCCAGTCACATCGTCCTCTGAATTTTCTTCGTCACATGGGCTCAGTACAATATTTGGCCGTTTTGGTGTTGGTTTTGATACTGGAGTCTGATCATGATACCTCAGTCCCGGCACATCTGTGTTTCTCTCAATTGAAATATCATTTGCATCAGTAGCATCACTAATCGAATCCATCTGCCCTCTCTGAAACTATTTAATAAGTTTATCAGCTTTTTTCACAATTAAATGAAATTCACGTGCTAGTAATTTATGTAAAGCTTATAATGATTTTCGAGGAAACATTTTTATGCCCCTTTGAAGTAGATATTGGCACCCTGATATATTCAAAAAGAGATTTAACTGTGATCACGGGTGGTTTAAGGTTTTTCTCGATGGGGGGCATGCATTTCAGTTAATTGTTTGATATGATAGGTCAACCAAATTCAAACTTTCAATCAAATTCAAGAAATTAGCCTGATTGTTAGGTCGATCAAACTGATTTTCCAAGGATTTCTCAAAGTGTCCTTTAGAAAATTTCAAAGGGTACATAGGGAAATTTTTAGGGTCGTTCGGTTGAAAAGGATGTAAATATTACTTACCGGAGATTGGCTCTTTGATGGTGGAAGGTTCCAATCAGTGAGGAGGACTGGCAGGTGTGATCGCCGAAAGCGATCATTTTCATTATTTTTTTTTCCTACCATTGAAAATTTGGAGGTACTTTTTCTTCGAGTGTAGTTTAGTTTTTTCTTTCTTGTTTTCCACGCAAAATCAGGTGCCACAAATAATCATCGGAATTGATCGAGTGATATATTATTTTAAATAATTTTCAGTCGTTATTCAAACGACAATGAAAATTTTTTAAAAACTTGTCCCAGTGTCGAGATAAACAGGTTTTTGAGTTTTAGTCGAACAAAGGTTGCTCGAACTAAATTACTCGTTCTTAATTAGACGAAAGTTTTCATTTAAGTAGAGAAAAACTTCCGTTTAACTAGTGCTGGAAGCTTCGTTTAGCTTCAATGGCAATAGCTAAAACTAATATTGGAAGCCTCAGTTAGCTTCCTTGGCTAAAAAAAAACCTTTAAAAAATCGCAACATGATTTTACAGAAATTTTTTGTTCATTATTCGTTTTTGAAGAAGTTATCGATTAGGTCCAATTCAATAACGTTTGAAGCGTGTTTATACGCAAAAAAGGAACGTTTCGACACCACACCGATTAATGATAAAAAGTTATCAATTTTTTTACGCTTGCGATTAGCAAGCGTTATCAAATCGGTGTCTAGACTTTTTTCGTGTGAACAACTAGTTTTACAGAATCATTGAATCATTTTACCTTTGATTAATATCAAATCAAAGTCAGGCATTAACTCGATAGTGTAGCGAAGAGCTAACGCACCTGCTTATATAGACAAAGGTCAATGGTTCGAATACGGCCAAGACCTGTTTTTTTTGTAAACGGAAAATGGTCCGCGCGTTAAAAAGTTTGTGCCGGATTTCTGTTCGTCTGCTTATTTTTTTTTCGGCTTAGTTGCCGCAGCGCCAAATTTGCCTAAAATTTAAGCATTTTTTAGTTAACTTGAAAACGGTTTCAGTTTATTGTTTTTTTGTCTAATAATTGAGTCAAAGAAATTTTGCTAGTTGTTGATTTTCATCTTGTTTAAAACTTCTGGAGGTTGTTTTTTTTTTATAATTTTAGATAGTGTTTTGTGCTATTGGTGCAGTGGTAACACCCATGCTTTTGGAGATAGATCTCTAAAGTTCTGTTTCAGCCGGGATCTGTTTTTGTGGAAACTGAAAGTTTTCTTCTAGTATAGACTATCGATGTCTGATTATTTTTGTCGGCTTAGTTTCCGCAAAATTATTCGTTTTTTAAGCTTCTTGGATGCTGTTTGCATAGTTTATAATGTTGCAGGTTATTTTGTTCCAGAAGTTTTTAAAATCTTTTTTGCAACTTTTCGAAGATTTTTTGAAGGTTTTTATTTCAATTTTTGATTTGTCTTTTCATTTGCCTGTAATCATTATCACTCATTTTTTTTGAGAAGGGACTATTGAATAAGATGAACAAATGCAAGAATGGGTGGTAATTAGTAGTTAGAACCACGTTAAATTCGAAGTAGATTTGTAATTTAATTTGAACTTCAACTCAAATTGTCAATTTTTTCTGAAAATCAAAAATGTTCAGAACAGTTCTAATTTTTTTATTGTTAGCCCCCGGTCCTGCTCAGTGCAGGACCAACCGTGGGGGAGATTGATGTCATCCATTTTGCCGCAGCCGGTCCCACTTCGAGGAGGCGGATGACTCTGAGACCCCTCTAACCGTGACGGAAGTGAGATTCGAACGCATGACCCTCGTGCTGAGAGACGTGTGCCTAACCCACTCGGCCACGGCTGCTCTGAACAGTTTTATTCGACTTGAGAGTTTTTTGTGATTTTTTGTTGGAATCCTAATCACAATCAACATGGAAACACCTCTTCTTTAATTAGTCAAAATCTGGAAAAAAAAATACACTAAGTCCTTTATCGTCCATTGTCCCTTTAGGTGAGTGTTCTTAACAATTGAGAAAAAAAATAGAATTGAACTTTAAGTCTGGAGAAAAGGTCCAGTCAAAATTTTGTCTGATTGTGTATCGCTGCGCTTGATCTCTGAAATAAATGTTGAGAGTTGATTAAAATCTAGTTCTGTTGAATTCAGGACATAGTGGTAGACGGGTGGGCTCTGAGCATGTTGGCGCCTGAGAATGTGGGCTACGCGTCCACGTGCAACTCAGTCGGACAGACCTTCGGCTACTTCGTCAGCTACACGTTATTCCTCGCATTTGAGTCCAAGGACTTCTGCAACCAGTACTTCTACCCCCTAATTGGACTGGATGCACAGGTACTATTTATTTACTCCTTTGTTCATTGGTGTCAGCAGGCATTACAAAATAAATCAATTTGTGCAAATTCAAAGAATTAAATCAATGAAGTTCAAAACGTACAGACTACCTAGGAGCACTAACCGGTCAACGCCCTGATTTCTTGCTCTTAAATCTCATTGTCGCTTTTATGCTTAGTGCAATATGTCATTTTTACATGGAGTTACTACTTTACTTTCATAGAGGAGATAGTTTAAAAGCTCGGAAATAGTTTGAAAGAGTTCAGGAAACTTGATTTTCTGAATTGATTACGGAATTTGCAGGTTAATGGTACTCAATTGAATAATTAGAATAAGATCTGTTCTAGAGAATGCGGAGGATGCAGATAAATTGTTACTCGACCCCAATTGAAAATAGTTTCTTAAGTAGTATGTATATGACGGTGCAATTTCATAAATTCATCGCCTTTTCAGCCCACTGGCGCTCTAACACTGGATGGTTTCATGTATTTCTGGGGCGTGGTCTTCGTCGTCGCTACCACTCTAGTCTGGATATTCAAGAGGGAAAAGGCTGATAACGACTACCAAGAATCATTAACTGATTCCTACAAATCCCTCTGGAAAATCTTGTGGCTTCCGGTACTGAAACAATATATTTTTTTCTGCTTAACTTGTAAAATAGCATTTGCAGCGGCAGACGGGATCACCGGGCTAAAGCTAATCGATTATATGATTCAAGTTTTTCTGCTTTAGATAAAGTCCTAAGATAGCTGACATTCGCCTGAGATGCTATTTCCATTTTGGAGGATGAGATAATTTCCTTCTTCATGTTCTTTATTGCGGACTCAACAGCGACGTTGATTGCAGTCATTAGTTGCGCTTTGTTTTGCTCTACAAGGCTGGGTATCAACAACTTCATTGACTCTTCAATGGTATGCTTCAGCTTTCCAGTCACATCGTCCTCTGAATTTTCTTCGTCACATGGGCTCAGTACAATATTTGGCCGTTTTGGTGTTGGTTTTGATACTGGAGTCTGATCATGATACCTCAGTCCCGGCACATCTGTGTTTCTCTCAATTGAAATATCATTTGCATCAGTAGCATCACTAATCGAATCCATCTGCCCTCTCTGAAACTATTTAATAAGTTTATCAGCTTTTTTCACAATTAAATGAAATTCACGTGCTAGTTATTTATGTAAAGCTTATAATGATTTTCGAGGAAACATATTTATGCCCCTTTGAAGTAGATATTGGCGCCCTGATATATTCAAAAAGAGATTTAACTGTGATCACGGGTGGTTTAAGGTTTTTCTCGATGGGGGGCATGCATTTCAGTTAATTGTTTGATATGATAGGTCAACCAAATTCAAACTTTCAATCAAATTCAAGAAATTAGCCTGATTGTTAGGTCGATCAAACTGATTTTCCAAGGATTTCTCAAAGTGTCCTTTAGAAAATTTCAAAGGGTACATAGGGAAATTTTTAGGGTCGTTCGGTTGAAAAGGATGTAAATATTACTTACCGGAGATTGGCTCTTTGATGGTGGAAGGTTCCAATCAGTGAGGAGGACTGGTAGGTGTGATCGCCGAAAGCGATCATTTTCATTATTTTTTTTCCTACCATTGAAAATTGGGAGGTACTTTTTCTTCGAGTGTAGTTTAGTTTTTTCTTTCTTGTTTTCCACGCAAAATCAGGTGCCACAAATAGTCATCGGAATTGATCGAGTGATATATTATTTTAAATAATTTTCAGTCGTTATTCAAACGACAATGAAAATTTTTCAAAAACTTGTCCCAGTGTCGAGATAAACAGGTTTTTGAGTTTTAGTCGAACAAAGGTTGCTCGAACTAAATTACTCGTTCTTAATTAGACGAAAGTTTTCATTTAAGTAGAGAAAAACTTCCGTTTAACTAGTGCTGGAAGCTTCGTTTAGCTTCAATGGCAATAGCTAAAACTAATATTGGAAGCCTTAGTTAGCTTCCTTGGCTAAAAAAAAACCTTTAAAAAATCGCAACATGATTTTACAGAAATTTTTTGTTCATTATTCGTTTTTGAAGAAGTTATCGATTAGGTCCAATTCAATAACGTTTGAAGCGTGTTTATACGCACAAAAAGGAACGTTTCGACACCACACCGATTAATGATAAAAAGTTATCAATTTTTTTACGCTTGCGATTAGCAAGCGTTATCAAATCGGTGTCTAGACTTTTTTCGTGTGAACAACTAGTTTTACAGAATCATTGAATCATTTTATCTTTGATTAATATCAAATCAAAGTCAGGCATTAACTCGATAGTGTAGCGAAGAGCTAACGCACCTGCTTATATAGACAAAGGTCAATGGTTCGAATACGGCCAAGACCTGTTTTTTTTGTAAACGGAAAATGGTCCGCGCGTTAAAAAGTTTGTGCCGGATTTCTGTTCGTCTGCTTATTTTTTTTTCGGCTTAGTTGCCGCAGCGCCAAATTTGCCTAAAATTTAAGCATTTTTTAGTTAACTTGAAAACGGTTTCAGTTTATTGTTTTTTTTTGTCTAATAATTGAGTCAAAGAAATTTTGCTAGTTGTTGATTTTCATCTTGTTTAAAACTTCTGGAGGTTGTTTTTTTTTATAATTTTAGATAGTGTTTTGTGCTATTGGTGCAGTGGTAACACCCATGCTTTTGGAGATAGATCTCTAAAGTTCTGTTTCAGCCGGGATCTGTTTTTGTGGAAACTGAAAGTTTTCTTCTAGTATAGACTATCGATGTCTGATTATTTTTGTCGGCTTAGTTTCCGCAAAATTATTCGTTTTTTAAGCTTCTTGGATGCTGTTTGCATAGTTTATAATGTTGCAGGTTATTTTGTTCCAGAAGTTTTTAAAATCTTTTTTGCAACTTTTCGAAGATTTTTTGAAGGTTTTTATTTCAATTTTTGATTTGTCTTTTCATTTGCCTGTAATCATTATCACTCATTTTTTTTGAGAAGGGACTATTGAATAAGATGAACAAATGCAAGAATGGGTGGTAATTAGTAGTTAGAACCACGTTAAAGTCGAAGTAGATTTGTAATTTAATTTGAACTTCAACTCAAATTGTCAATTTTTTCTGAAAATCAAAAATGTTCAGAACAGTTCTAATTTTTTTATTGTTAGCCCCCGGTCCTGCTCAGTGCAGGACCAACCGTGGGGGAGATTGATGTCATCCATTTTGCCGCAGCCGGTCCCACTTCGAGGAGGCGGATGACTCTGAGACCCCTCTAACCGTGACGGAAGTGAGATTCGAACGCATGACCCTCGTGCTGAGAGACGTGTGCCTAACCCACTCGGCCACGGCTGCTCTGAACAGTTTTATTCGACTTGAGAGTTTTTTGTGATTTTTTGTTGGAATCCTAATCACAATCAACATGGAAACACCTCTTCTTTAATTAGTCAAAATCTGGAAAAAAAATACACTAAGTCCTTTATCGTCCATTGTCCCTTTAGGTGAGTGTTCTTAACAATTGAGAAAAAAAAATAGAATTGAACTTTAAGTCTGGAGAAAAGGTCAAGTCAAAATTTTGTCTGATTGTGTATCGCTGCGCTTGATCTCTGAAATAAATGTTGAGAGTTGATTAAAATCTAGTTCTGTTGAATTCAGGACATAGTGGTAGACGGGTGGGCTCTGAGCATGTTGGCGCCTGAGAATGTGGGCTACGCGTCCACGTGCAACTCAGTCGGACAGACCTTCGGCTACTTCGTCAGCTACACGTTATTCCTCGCATTTGAGTCCAAGGACTTCTGCAACCAGTACTTCTACCCCCTAATTGGACTGGATGCTCAGGTACTATTTATTTACTCCTTTGTTCATTGGTGTCAGCAGGCATTACAAAATAAATCAATTTGTGCAAATTCAAAGAATTAAATCAATGAAGTTCAAAACGTACAGACTACCTAGGAGCACTAACCGGTCAACGCCCTGATTTCTTGCTCTTAAATCTCATTGTCGCTTTTATGCTTAGTGCAATATGTCATTTTTACATGGAGTTACTACTTTACTTTCATAGAGGAGATAGTTTAAAAGCTCGGAAATAGTTTGAAAGAGTTCAGGAAACTTGATTTTCTGAATTGATTACGGAATTTGCAGGTTAATGGTACTCAATTGAATAATTAGAATAAGATCTGTTCTAGAGAATGCGGAGGATGCAGATAAATTGTTACTCGACCCCAATTGAAAATAGTTTCTTAAGTAGTATGTATATGACGGTGCAATTTCATAAATTCATCGCCTTTTCAGCCCACTGGCGCTCTAACACTGGATGGTTTCATGTATTTCTGGGGCGTGGTCTTCGTCGTCGCTACCACTCTAGTCTGGATATTCAAGAGGGAAAAGGCTGATAACGACTACCAAGAATCATTAACTGATTCCTACAAATCCCTCTGGAAAATCTTGTGGCTTCCGGTACTGAAACAATATATTTTTTTCTGCTTAACTTGTAAAATAGCATTTGCAGCGGCAGACGGGATCACCGGGCTAAAGCTAATCGAAGCAGGAATGAAGAAAGAAAAGCTGGCTCTTCTTGCAGTTCCTCTGACACCTGTGCAGCTCTTCCTTCCTCTAATCATATCACGAATCACAGCCGGCCCCAAACCCATGACTAAAGTCTGGATGAATGCGTACCCTTGTAGACTTATATTTGGACTTGTGTTCGCAGGGATAGTTTACATCACACCCGGAGTACAAGAGTCGCCGGGTGAATTTCCAATTTGGTACTACCTGTTGTTGATTGCTGTGTTTGTTTGCCATCAGTTGTTTACCAATAGCATGTTTGTCTCCATTATGGCGTTCCACGCTCAGGTAAGTGATCCGGCAATTGGCGGAACGTACATGACCATGCTCAACACTTTCACGAACTTCGGAGGTAACTGGCCGAACACTTTCGCATTATGGATGGTGGATAAATTAACGATTAAATCTTGTTCTATTGGAGGAGAAAGTTGCAGCACAGCTGAAAGTTTGGAAGCATGTACTGCACGTGGGGGTCATTGTTTAACCACTACGGATGGATATTACGTGATGTCTTGTATTCTAGTAGTGATCGGATTCGTATGGCTGTTTTTCATGCGAACCAGAATAATCAAGTTCCAGAATATGAGTGTAAATGCCTGGAAGGTTACATGAATTATCATTGGTGCGAGTTATTGATGCTTTAGGGTGCAGTACTTGTAAGTAATTTCAAAATATGTTGACAACAACGTCAAAAATGTTGAAAATACTTATTTTGAGATAGTTGTGGTAATCAGTCTTGTAAAATGACTTATTTGACTGTTCTCCAAATAATATTAAATATTTTTGAATTTTAGCTTTACTGTTCCGACCACTCGCAGAGCGGGGATGATGTTTGTTTTCGGGTAATTTTTTGATGTCAATGGGACTGAATAACTCCTGGTATCACATTAAATGCCTCAAATTTATAATTGCTCATTTTGATGAAGTTGTGCTTTGGTCGAGACAATGCTTTTGCTATTCGGACTGTTTTCGGAGCTACGACTCTAAACATAGAAAGAAAAAGAAACAAATTCGGTTAAGCCAAATTTTGCTAATGATGTTGTGTATATTTTCGGCTCTTTATTCCAATCAAAGTTAATTATAATTTGTATAAAATAATTTACTATTGCTAAAATATATCTTTGTTGCTTTTTGGTTTTGAAACTCAGGGTTGAAGCCGAATTTGCAATTGTCCTCATATTTGAAACGCGTTTCACTCAAACTTCCTTTTGTAGAGAGCGCTGATCTGCTAATATCGGAGAGCTAGCGCATTTGAATCCTTCGATTTTCCGAGAGTAGAGTTGTAAGATCAGAGTAATTTCGAATTGTTTTTCAGATTGTTGAATTAAAGATGTTTTTGGTGGAGAATTCATGAGATTGGAGAAATCGACAAGAGTGGCTGATTATTGTAGCTGCGCATGTGTGTAAGTTATGTTCGTGGATTCTTTTTTTGTTAATATGGGTTTCAGTAATCGTTACTCTGCAGTAGCAGTACTTAATTCGCGGGGTTCGGTATTTAATGAGGGGAATGGGATAGGGGGCGTGTTTTGGGTTGGGTTGTAGAACATATCAGGGGATCTTGCACCCTGGGATAGGTTCTAATTACTATCGTGCCAAAATTGACCATTAAATTGTTGGCATGAAATGAATTTAAGTGATTTATCGCAGGCTGCATTTTTTGTGTAGAAAAGACAATTTTTTATTCTGTTGGACGGCTTAGAAACCTTTTTCGACTACATTGGTTCAAATTTGATGGTATACATTTTTTGGTAGGGCCTTCTCAGACCCTCGTTTTCCAAGCTTCAAGGGTGGTCGGTATTGTAGGGAGGGGGTAGGAGGAGTAGGCTCTATGAAGAAAAATAATGGTGTTACGCGAGGGGGTCCCGACAAATACGCTGGGCTATATGAATCTTTTTAAAGAAGAAATCAAACAAGTGACTCCAATTTGTAACGATATTTGCCTTTTGGCCACATTAACTGTACTCTACCTACTACTAATTGCTTTCAGGTTGGCTCTGGTGACAATGAAGACCCTAACGTCACCCAGGGCACCTTTGTGAACAACCCAAACAATCGCCGAGGACGTAATCAATCTCCACTGTTGCGCGGGGGCAGGGGAGCTAGGGCGGTACAGCCTAGAAATAGACGCAGGGGGGAGCAGGACATGTACAACGTGGGGGGAAGACGGAAACACAGCAGCAACAGTGGTGGGATGAGTGGGAGGAGAGATGTGCGCATTCTGTTGCTAGGAGACAGCTGTGTGGGCAAGACCTCACTCATTCTCTCCCTCATCTCAGAGGAGTTTCTAGAAGAGGTCAACAATCACTTAAGTTATTCGTATTCTACACTCTCGTAAACCTGCTCCTGAACTGTTGTTGAACAGTTAAATTGTGTAAATTATTTGTCTGTTTCCGCGAAGGGTCGTGAGTGAGATATATGAGTGAGAAGGTCGCGAGTAGTTGTGTTTTGTTATAGGTTCCTGCGCGTACGGAGGAGATCACAATTCCACCAGATGTCACTCCGCAATTTGTGCCCACCCACATCGTGGACTTCTCATGTGAGTTGAGACATGGGAACGAAACACACGAACACATACCAGTCAATTCTTTATTGTGCGGCATAAATTCGAGTGTTGTTTTCACCACGTTAATGCCATATGTGAACGTTCTTTTTTTCAAAAAGCAAGTCAGTTGTTTTTGTTTCATTGTTCTTTTTACCCTTGCGATAAGTTTTTTGCCGTAAATAACTTTGCTCACTGGCATCATCTCTAGTGGTACCTTGTTTCATAGTTAATTCAAATTTCTTAGCCTAGAGTTAACGGTCATGGCTTCAAATCTGACCAGGAAATGTTTTTTTTTTCAAACGAAATATTCAAATCATAATCTTGGCCAGTTATTAAGAGTCAATGAACGTAATTTAGTTCTTTTATAGGTTGCGATGATTTTTTTTGAGGAAAAGTCTGAAAATTTTTCCGGCTCAAGTTTACTTTATGCGATTTGACTCTTGATTTTGTTTTCAGTTCATTTCCTTTGTTAAAAAGGAGGCAAACTATACTATCGAACAGCGAAAGTGAAGTTCACGAAAAACGTGATTGAATTCTAGTTTCGAAAAAAGTTCACTACGACTCAAAACGTAGCGCAGACGGTGAAAAGTGGCATTTTCAGACCCCGAAAAAACTAGTAAGTGCCTCAAATTAAAACTTGAGACTTTCAGAGAGGGTACTACAGATCGTTTGCTGACGGAATATATTCTTGCTGACGGAAAAATTTTGCTAGTTCTAATTAAATATTTTCCAAAAGGGTCCTTAAAATTAGTTTTTTTTAGAGCGTAAAAACTTGAATATGCGTTTAATTTTGTCCAGTAGTGGATTCGCATTCATTTTGATGGATCTAGTTGTATAGCAAGTGGTGCTAAGCTCAGCTTCGCCTCTATACGCTTTTCCAACTGTCTGTTGGCTATGTTTGTTTATAGGATCTGGTTTTGATTTTGTTTCGACACGGGAAAGTGGTGGCGAGGATTTTTGTGATAAATGAACGAAATAAATGTTCACTGATTGATGTCGTGTTTTTCTCTCGGTTTTTTGAGTTCATAAACCGTTTTTGTTGCTGATGTTTATCTTGTTCGTCTTCAGAACATCAGTATAGAACTCGGAACGGTGCTTTTTTTTCCATAGATGTATCTAGTAATTTGGTTACGAATTCAGTAGCTTAGTAAGTCATATATAGATTGCGGAGCGAATCCCGGCAAGTTCAAATTCTCTACATCGAATTTATTTTTTGCATTTTTTCAACCATCATAAGCAAATTTTATTCAATTGTTGGCTGTTCAAACTTGTCTTGTGTGTCTGAAGTGCAGCTTGACCTCTGTGATTGGCGTTGTAGTTTATTTTATGTGTTGTGTGTAGTCCAGGAGCAGGAGGAGTCTGAATTGTACGAGGAGGTTGCCAGGGCCCATGTAGTCTGTCTGCTGTTCGCTCTCAACGACCTCTCTACTATAGAATCGGTAAGCTACTACACACAGCAACAACAACAAGAGCCTCAACATTACATACTTCAGGCAGAAGTATAACAGATAGGTTCCGCCCCTTTCGTGAAGCCTGTTCAAAACAAAAATACACAAAAGCACG